GTGATAGGATAATATCCATATGCCTACAGGGAAGCCCAGTTAATACCACTATTATTCAAATGTACACACCAACCACTAAAGCCAGTGAGGATGAAATAGAAGAATGCTACCAACTTCTTCCATCTGAAATTGATCAAACATACAATCAAGATGTATTGATCATTACTGGTGATTTGAATGCAAAGGCTGGAAACAAAGGAAGGATCGGTGGTTGGAAAATATGGCCTTAGTGATAGAAACAATGCTGGAGATTGCTTGATAGAATTTTGCAAGACCAATAACTTCTTCATTGCAAATACCTTTTTAAAACAACATAAATGAATACTATACACAAGGCTCTCACCATATGGAATACACAGAAATCAAATTGACTACATCTGTGGAAAGAGACGGTGGAAAAGCTCCATATCATCAGTGAAAACAAGGCCAGGGGCAGACTGTGAAACAGACCATCAATTGTTCATATGCAAGTTCAGTCTGAAGATGAAGGAAATTAAAAGAAGTCCAAAAGAGCCAAAATATGACCATGAATATATCCCACCTGAATTTAGAGAATATTTGAAGAACAGATTTGATGCACTAGACACTAAAGACCAAAGACCCAAAGAGTTGTGGGATGACATCAAGAACACCATAAAAGAAGAAAGCAAAAGGTCATTAAGAAGACAAGAAAGAAGGGAACAGGCCAATATGGATGTTAGAAGAGACTCTGAAACTTGCTCTCAAGCATAGAGATGCTAAAGCAAATCGAAGAAATAAAGAGAGGTACAAGAGCGGAACAGAAAATAACAAAGGTCAGCTCAAGAAGACAAGTCAAATATTACAACAAAATATGCAAAGACCTGGAATTAGAAAACCAAAAAGGAAGAACATGCTCAGCATTTCTCAAGCTGAGGGAATTGGAGAAGAATTCAATCTTTGACTTGCAATATTGAAGGATTCTATGGACAAAATACTGAATGATGCAGAAAGCATCAAAAGATGGAAGGAATACACAGAGTCTGCTCCACCCACCCACCCCCAGTGGTGATGTTCAACCATTTCTAGAGGTAGCTTATGATCAAGAGTCAATGATCCTGATGAGAACAAACAAGATGGCGGATCGGGTGGAAGTGCAGTACAGGAGCTCCGCCAACAACAACACAGAATACCCGACCAAGCAGGCTCAGTGACAGAAGTTAACATCTTCATGATGAACCTGACCTATACTCAGAGCAGTAGTTACTCTAAATACCAACAGAGAGGGAATGAGTCTTCAAATCAAGTTTCAATGCTATCCGCTCT